AGAGGACATGCTTCGGCACGGCGGCCTGAAGCAGAATGCCAATGCCCAGAAAAGCAAATTCCACCTGGCTGCTGTCCGTTTCCTTGAAGGCAAGGCTGAGGACCACGATGAAGGCCAGGGGGTGGACGAAGATAAGACAACCGTGAAACGGCTGGTCTCGTCTGATACTGGCGGCCCCACAGCCGCCCAATGCTTGACGGCACTGGAAGTTCTACTTGCTGGAGGTTCCGGGCACGAATACCAGAGGCGGTGTCTGAGCAACAATCGCACAAATCCGACTTTATGGCCAACGGGGCGTTCGTCCCGAGGAATGTTTTACAACATCATGGAGGCTGCGGCTGAGGCCGCCTTCAACGTGGACCGCCGTCGCCTGCAGCAACCCGTTCGGGCAGTGGCCTTGGCTGAGGAGCCGAATGCCAAGAGTAGTATCCATGCCGGTTTTCAGTGCGTCGTGTGTTGCAGGATGCAAGAGGCGGCTTCGAGCTTTTGAAGGTGCGGTACGTCATGGCCGACTGGTCCGTTCATTGCCGCATGCTAGACCTGGCCACGGCTGAGAAGGCTGGGCAGCACGTGAGCCAGGGCAGATCGGGTTCCAGTACAGTAGCCCTGCCAGCCGAGGCCGCACTGGAGAAAGCCAGATCGCTGCCTGACACCCTGGCCAGCTTCTTGCCGGAGGAAGCCCTCCGGAATGCTTTCAAAGACAAGATCCGCATCTTTATGGCCGACGGGGAATTTAGCGAGCCTCTGGCGGCACGGCTGAGTAAAGTGCCTCGCTTGCAGTTTCTGCGGATTTCAAGAACAGCATATTGAATGTTTGAAGGACCGCACCTTCACATGAGGTCCAGGGAACCCTGCCGGGATTGAAGGCGATTATGAGATGCTCCGTCCATAGTGGACAAAGGTCGCTCGAAAAGGCCTTGTCGTCTGACCCGGATGTGCAGGGTCTTCTCCAGAGCTGGGTGCTTGGATTTTCCGATGGCAGTGGGAAAAATCCAGGAGGATTTTGCAGGGCTGTGCGAAACTCGCTGAAGCTCCAGCGGCTGACGGCAGAGAAGCAGCTTGAGGGTGTGGACGAAAGCCTGAGGCGATTGTGCCACTTCGGCTTTGCACCCCAACGTTTCAACACCGTCTGCGATGCTTGCGTCAACGTGGCTGAGAACATAGATGCGGTCTGCAATGTCCTGAGCCATCTCGCAGCGGTGGATGATGCACTGTCAGGCCACTCAACTGATCGTGCTCGTTCATGAGTCCCCGTGGATGGCGAGGCCTTTGCTTAGCCGATGTTTTTGTCTGTGCTGTCTGAGGTTGGGCCACTAAGCTTCTTCAACAATGCTTTCAGCCGGAGAAGCTCCTCCAACTTGGCTTGATCGCGGAGCTTGCCTGTGCCGCTGCGAGCCGCGACTGCAGGAATCAGTCTTGTTTGCAAGTCTTCTCTGGCAAGAGATCCAAGGAAATTCAACCACTCACTGGACGGCCAACATCTGCGATTGGCTGCGACAGCCCACAATCTTCAGCAGCTCGAGCGTCTGATCAATCGACTCTTCGACTTTCGGAGTCCGGCAGGAGAGCTGCAGCAGCCGCTGGTTCTGGATGATGCCTATGCACATGGCTACGTGCAAAGACTGCAGGCGACTCTAAAGCTTGAGCAGAACAAGTGCCTGGTTGTAAAGCAAAAGATGATCTTCTGGCACAGCGGCGCCAACAGGAACAAGATACGTTCCTTCGTGGCCAAAGAACTCGGTGCCATTCGCAACATCGCTCAGCTTTTTGTTCAAGGCCTGAAAGCCGATGTGGAGGTTGGCGTCCAGGCATCGCTTTCTCCGTTTGATGTCAACCATACCCTGTGCAGCGACGAAGCTTTGCCAGAGCCACAGGATCCATGATCTTCTGTGCGATTCTGCTCCTGTAATAATCACCGCTACTAACATCCGATGCCGAGGCCTGACATCTTCAAGCCGCTAGCAGAGGCTGCACAAGTGGAGGTCTGGAGCCCACACCGCTTCAGCGGGACCGAGGCTGTGATGTTCAACCGCTCAGGTGACACAGCTGGCCAAAGAGTTCCTCTTGGCACGTCCTACAGCCTTGCTGGTGAAGTCACAGCCTCCCGGCGACAAGTCTTTTCTTCGGAGGCCCTTCACTCCAAGACGAACAGTGCATGACTGAGGACCGGAGGCGAGGATTTGAATGAGATCTGGTCCAGGACCATGCGGCATTGGTCTGACAAACTCCCGGCTTTGTCTGAAGCGGCTCCTTACCTGCCTAGCTCAGTGTCTTTGAGCTGTGGGATTAAACGTGAGACGACGAAAGCCATTCTGTCCTGAGGCTGCCCTCGTCCTGAGTTGCTTCCCGAGCACCGGCGAGATTGAGCAGAATTTCAGCTGGCTGCAGCAGTTCTCGGAGGGGAGAAAGGGCAAGACTTCGCGGGGACACCTTCGGCAACTCGGCTCATGTCAAGTCCATCTTGTCGTCCTGCATGGGACCAGAAATTTGAAAATCTTCTGCTCTCAGTCTCTGTCGAAGTGCCAGGTCATTAATGAAGGTCCGCCTCGACGGGCCGACAGCCGACCAACTCGTCTGTCGCGAGCCCCACAGCATCCTCCCGAGAAAGCCGTGCCTGAAACTGCTGCAAGAATACCGTCGCCTGTTTGCTCCGAGCGGCGGCTCGCAAGGATGCCGCAGCTCACTGGGTCGTCGGGTTCTGAACGGCCGCCTGAACCCGCTTTCAAGAGCTGGCTTGAAGCGACAGCGAGGGCTGGAGCAGCAGCAACTCTTGCAACAGGCGCCGGCGGAGTCTCAGCCTGAAGACCTCGCTACTTTGGAGGCTGAAGCCGGCGAATCAGCCAAACGTCGCAGGACTGACAAGCAAGTTAGCCTGACTGCCGCCCTGGAAAAGTACAAGACCAAGAAGGAGGAATGGGCGACACTTGATGCTTCGTCCGAAGCAGCCGCTGCTGGCCGCCTGATAGAAAAAGAGCGGGAGGCTGAAAAACGCTTCGAGAAGCTGAAGAAGATCGGCGTGGCCAGACTTTCAGCCGTGCGGTCTGATGTCCTTGCGGCCGACCGCGACCGTTTGATCATGGTGGTGCATGGCCATGACTCCAGCAAGACACCGGGCCTGCCTGATCTTGAACGACTGGGCAATGCTCGTGCTTGGCCTGAGTCGATCGAAGACCAAAGAAATTTGGTTTACGATCTGCTTCGTCATACATCTGAGGACTGCGGCAGTCATCGACTCCTCTACTGGGTCTGCTTGTCTGACGAGGTCGAGCGTGACTTCATCTTCAAGCCGTCTGAGAGTGCTTTCTCGGCTGTTGCTCGCCACTTGGGAGGCGGTTTTTGCGGTCGACAATGGGTGCAGGCATGCATGGATGAGGGCCGTCTCTTGCCAGCCTTGACATGCCTGAAAAGCAGCTTGACGACGACACAGGAGCTGTGCTTGCATAGCTCCTGTATGTCTGACGACTCTGCTTTGCCCGCCACTCGGATGCTGGGTGCTGTTCTCGATGCCGCGGAGAGGGCTGACATTACAATTTCATGGACACGTCGCAAGAGATGGCGAGATGTTACCTGCAAGAAGTGTTCTGTCATAGTCGACGGTGAGACGGCTGAGAAGTACAGGAAGAAGAAGCAGAGGCATCCGGGCTGTCTGATGACAGTGGCGGAGTTCATCGCTGCCAGCAACACGGCTCTTTTTTCGTTGGTATTCGCACACAAGCTATAGGTCATGACTTTGCACATGTACATGCAGTTCTCTACTCAGGCACGAAGTGGACTGACACCTGATACCGCCCGATGCTGCCTGAACGACTGAGCAACGATGCCAAGGCCATATTTTCATCTTGTCCAATCTAACTTGATACTTGTCTTGGTCAGGCACTTCCACACAGCCATCGAGTGCTTGACAAGTGGTCGGCGTGCACCGGCTCCGACTGATTCGTCAGGAACCTTGCTGCAATTGTTATTTCTCTTGATTCCTGCCCTTACGTTCTCAGTGATCCTAGGTACCAAAGATGTGTGGTTTGCTGCGACAGCAATGCCGCCGAGTCGCACTGCTGTCCCTTTGCTGTGGGTTCCCTTCTTGCTCTCTTTCTGAATGAATCCTAGGCAGTCGTGCTCTGCCTACTACACGGCCTGAAAGCCAGGGGTGGGGCTGCCTTGAGCGCCTCGGGGATGTTTCCTTAAGTGAAACAGTCTGAATTTCACGACGTCTGATATCCATCTTGCAGTCGCGACACAATTATCCTCAAAACATAGCTTTCTATGTGATCTCGGCTGTTTCCACGGAAACTCGCTTTGTAGATGACTGATGAGTTTGGGGTGGAGCCGGGGAGACCAAAAAGTGCCGTCGCAGATCTGTCTGAGAAGTTGTGCTTGCATCGGCTTTGCCACTGTCCTGCTTTGCTTCGGCGCCTGCCGACCGCTGAGGTTTGACCCCGGCGGCAGAGTGAGTGCCGAAGCCTGAAGCATCGAAGCCACAACACAACATCGCCTGACAAATCACAAGCTAAAGCCTGAAGCATCGAAGCCACAACACAACATCATTCTCACCTGGAATCGAGCAAGTGATGCGTGGAAAGAAGTGTTGGACGTCGCCATGATGTGCTGTAGATGCTTAGTTTCCGGTATAAAAGTTTCAACTTTTATCGCCCGGGCCTTTCAGCCAGTAAGTTATAGGCGCCTAACTAATTGTCAATACTATTTTGAGGGCTCCTTGTTATAATTATAGTATAGTATGCCCCAAAACCCTGTTCTAATTATTAAAGACCAATGCACCGTAAACCATTCATCAACCCTGTAGTGCATAATAACTCCCTATCCCCACAATACCACGTAAAAAGTCTGCGAAAGCCCTGTAATACATACGTCTTTTTTTATCGCATATAAGCCCTATAATCCCTCGTATAGACCTTGCAACATGGGAGGATTTTTGCAATGGCCTAAACCTTGAGCCCCAAAACGCCAAACCCTAAACCCTATATACACCGCTGGGCGCTTGAGAGGATCTTTGCAATGGCATCTACATCTCGAGAATCACAGGGAACCTGAGGATGGAATACAGGCAGGGTTTTTTGCATCTTCCTACAAGGCTCTGAGGCTTCGGGGTTTAGCGATATACGGGTGTAGGGTTGAGGGGTTTGGGGCTTTAGGGCTTTAGGGTGGCTTCGTCAGGGAATGCCCACACCAGAATAACGAAACCCCGACTAGTTTACTATAGTTCCCCTGCAAGGTAACTCCTCAATAAGGGGCCTTGGCGATGTGCGGCTTTGTGGACATAGGGTTCAGGTTTTAGGGTTTAAGGTAAAAGCCAGGAAGTTGGAATATGATTATCCTAACCCTTCTATGGTAAATTATAGGGTATCCTACCATGAAACCATATTCCAACTTTCTGGAGTTTCCTATAGGGTTCAGGTTTTAGGGTTGAGGGGGGACTGGGACGCAAGGCCTTGCACTACGGCTCTTACCTTGGAATCGCGGTGATTTAGCTAATCCGTGGTTTCGATGTTCCCAAACCTAAACCCCTGAGTGCTAAAGCCCAAAATCGTAGCCTGCACAAATAATTGAACTGCGAATTGTGGCCTGACTCAGAAATTGCAATCGTACCACAACCAATCCCCAATGCCATCACATGGCCTGTTGCTGCGGGTCGTATTTGGTTTGGGGTGTTGCACAGCTTGGCATTATTTGTTTCTCAGCTCATGGTTCAAAACGGCATCTAGCCGGACTGACCTCAGGTGCTTTACACTTTGACTCAGAGGCTTGGTATTGTAGGGGCCTAAATCATACTATTTTGGGGGTTCCTTATTCTAAGTATAGTATAATGGACCCCAAAACCCTATTCTAATTATCAAGGCCTTATGGCATGGGGCTGGACGGGACAAGGACAAAACCGAGGCTGGGAAGAAGAGTGTCCAGGATCTTTTTCGGATAACGAGCCGGCCCGCCTTGGAGTTTGGCTTCGATCACAAGGCAGACGGCGTGCACGTGAACTATTTTGGGGGGTTCCTTACTGTAATTATTAGTATTATTATGGCACAACGGCCCCCAAATCCCTACTCTGAGTATTAAGCCCCCTATATAACGGACTACGGCCGGGGCGACAGTGGAGAGCCTCAAGACGCGGGAGATGGATGCTGCTGACTAGGGTTTAGGGTTTAGGCAACCGATACCCGATGACATGCAGCTCTTTTTTGGCGCAGCTGATCGGTTGACTGGCCCAGCACATGTGTGGTTGTCAAATTAGGGTCCCTTTTTGGGTCTTCATTGTAACCCGGCGCCGAATATTTAGGGTACCCCAAAAAGGGACCCTAATTTTGACAACCACCCACATGTCTGAGCATTTGGAGGAACCGTCTAACTCACTGACTCTCTGTATCGAATAGAAGACCCCCGAGCCCAAGAGAGCCTCCCAAACACTAAACCCTAAGCTACCTAGAGGCTCATACCCTACCCTTTTTTAAGGTACCTACTTTCCTATATAGCAGATCCTAACCATAAAACTAGGTATCCTAAAAAAGGGCAGGGTATGAATGCATGTAAGAGCTCTTGCAACATACGTTTCGGAAGGCCCCAATGAGCCTGGCATCGTAATTACGCTCCAAACCCTAGCTCCTACACCCTAACCCTTGATGTTATCTCCTACGCTTCATGAAGCAGGCCAAGATGAACCTTGAATTGCGGCAGCCTTATCATGACGACCCAAACTGGTACTTTAACCCCCAGACATATGCTTCCGCATATTACTAATATTAGTATTGGTATTAATATTCATATTAATACTAGTATTAATATGAATATTAATATTAGTATTGATTAATATTACATGGTCCGACAACATAGGGCCTAGCTCTGCAGCAGGCAGCTCTGACGCCTGCAAGACCCACACCTCCAGGCAAAAAGCAGTGACGTAGTGGCTGACTAGGCAGCCTTGAACTTTGCGAGGGGGTCTACAGAAACCCGACCCAAGTTTGAAATGTTGGGGAACTAAGGTCTCTGAACCCCCCCCCCCGGAAACCCTGAAACCCAACCCTAGACCCCGAAAGCGATGCACTATCTTGAGGTTCTACTACGAGCTGCTCCGGATTTTTCGAAGCCCCGAGTTGCTCCTGGATATCTCCAAGCCAAAAGTGGCGGGGGGTCTCAGCTTTAGAAAGTAGGTAATAATTGGAATCCCTTCGCAGTCCAAAACATCACTCGTTGTTATGGCTTCTGCGGCTTGAGAGCTTTCGGGCCTTGGGTTTTTCAGGATTTCGGACCAACCCTTCCAGACTAGTCCTACGAATTGTAGACCCAGTCTTACACGAGCCATCGGAGTAGGTGTGTATGACCAACCCTTCGGGTCATGCTTGGAGTCCTAGCTGAACCGTACTGCAAAGGCGACCAGGCTTTGGCTTGAAAAATTGATCTCCGGCTTGTTACGGTTTTAGGGGTTTAGGGGTTTAGGGTCTAGGGGTTTAGGGGTTTAGGGTTTAGGGGTTTAGAGTTTAGGGGTTTAGGGTTTTGGGTTAAAAGATTCCATCTTGGCAGTGTGCTCAACATTGGCACTGGAAAGGTCCAGGCGAGGGATGCAGCTTCTGCAGTGACTGTTGGTGGCACTCCCATCCAGCAGCAGCAACAGTAGGTGCACTGCAACAGCGATACTTATTATCGTGTTTCATGCTCACCGTAGTTTTCCGCCGGATCGTCATGTTGCTCATGCCAGATTATAGCTTTTTACCATCATCATCGCCACTGTGACCATCACCATCAGTAACATCATGCAGAGCATCTGCAGCTGTAGCAACTGCTCGTCACCATCACTCCCATCACTCCCATCATCATCATCATCATCATCATCACCATCATCATCATCAAGTCGTGCCGATCGTCTTCATCATCTGCATCTAACGAAACAACCGCACCTTTCATTTCTATCAGCCTGATGCTAGTGGCCATCGACATTCATCAACACCGTTTGTGTAACCATCATCAGCAGCAACAGTTGCCAGTCGGCTTAATTGTGATCGGCGCACTAGGCATGCACTCCGCGCCATGACCTATATCATCGCTTCCAAAGGCATTGCTGCCCCAAACAGTGGCAATTCTTGCTCATGCAAAAAACAGTATGGGCCGTCAGTGGATCTTCTGCAGCCTGCTTCAGGACACCGGCCATTTCCCAGCTGCGTCTCCTGGGTGGTCGGGCCAGCTGACAGACGATGTGCCAAGGCCGAACCACAGTGGATTGGGGTTGGAGACTTGTGAGGAGGGGGAGAAGGAGTCTTGCTAACGAGGCTAGGTTCTTTAGGGCCAAAACCCTCGAAATAATCGAACCGAGCATACAGTCTCAGTGCATTTGAGCATGCTGTTGCATGAAGCTGGACAGGCAATGGCTTCTTGATGTTCAACCGTTTTTCGCTGCATGCTACCTTCCTACCGGCCGGAACCAAGTTCCGAGACTCCGACAGTTTGCAGCTTTCTTCGCACCCTGCACTCAAGCTCCAAAGGTTCAACGGGGCGGGTACACTGGGGTGGCTCAAAATTGGGATTCCAGTCAAACTGTTTGTTTTCCATAGTTGTTTGTAGCTCATGATCGGGTCATGGAAGCAGTGAGTGCCATGAGGCAAATGCATTTCCGACTGAGACTCAAGACTGGCGTCCTCTCAACCGTGTTTGTCTAGTGCTCAGGGCGTTTTAGGGTTTGGGGTTTAGGGGCTTAGGTCATGTTTTGTTTTCCAGGTTTAGGGCTTCACAGATATGTCTGAACTGAAGCGTATGTGATTGGATCGACCCCAACCCCCTGGCGCAAGTCTGAATCCTAAACCGCATAAGCCTTGCACTCTATAGCCTTATTAAAACCCTAACCTTCGGTGGAGAGAAATCGAGGCTTTCGCTAGCCATGCTCGCTCGAGTTGCGTGCTTCCTACACAAAGGCGTGCTCGATTGTGGAGCTCGCTCTCACGCGCACCGGAGCAGCGCACGGGCGCCAGCGAGCACCCAAAACGAAGCGCCCTCCGAGCGAGCGTGCAAAATCGACACGTTTTTTGAGGCCTCAGACTCGCCGTGGTTTAGCCTTTGGGGTGAGTTACCAGAACAAACCAAAACATGCTCGCTCGAGGTGCGTGCTTCTAACAAAATGGCGTGCTCGCTCGCTTGTGCAGCACGCCTCATGCAAACAAGCACTCAGTAATAGTTGAATAATATTCATAATACAGATGTATAAGGACCTTAATAGCAGTAAGCAGTCGGCAGAGACAAACGAGCGAGCGCTCAAACATTTTGGAAGTGCCCACACCGCGCGAGCCTTGAAGAAAGGGCATTCCACTTACTACAAAACCTAAAGCTTAAACCCTGCACTCTAAACCCTAATATAGGGGCCTAAGGCCTAAACCACTACGATGCAATGTTTTTCTAGGGGTTCCGTATTATATTTACAGCATGATGGGCCCCAAACCCTATTCCAATAATTAAGGCCCCTGTATTGGACCCGGCCCGGTTTCCTGGAGGTCCTTCCTCAACTCGGAGCCTTCTACGGGGCTTTTACGGAGACCACGACCAGGAGGGGCAGGTCGGAAATTACCGGCTTTGGGTTTATAGGGTTTGGGATGTAGATT